GCCGGTTTTCGTCACTGAACAGCAGGTCCTCGTAACTGTGGGGTTTACCCCGTCTGCTATTCGTCACACGAAAAACGTGTAATAAAAAAGCTACTCCTACATGATGCCCTCGCAGAGACAAGGGTTATTACCCGCACGGTACCCACGCAGATGGCAAATACCGACGAGGCAAGGGACTTTGGGATCTTCACGCACGACTCTTTCCAGCCCACAAGACAGTGCCAGCTAACCACAGAAAAGGCTTCAAAAGCAGTTCTACTGCCCTTGGTGCGGCTCCACCTGAAACCTTGCACTCAGGCATGGGCACCGAGTCTCTTGTGAGATAGAAGGGCTCTCTACGACGTACTGAGAATGTTTACCTGGGTGTTTCCTGCCCTCAGGATGCTGTTATACTCGAGGTACATGAGATAACTAAACTTGTTCTCTCCCGCAGGAGAACGAGAGGGGATCTGATAGAGGTCTTGACGATACTGGGGGGGGGGCTTGTTGCAGCCCAGCGGGCAACATTTCTCTTTCGAGTGAGAACTTACCTCTCAACGGCCAACTNCCAACTGAAACTAGTCAAGCCTAGTGTAGTAAGGAGAGAAGCAAATCTTTTTCGTAGAGTTGTCATCGCCTGGAACAGACTACCGAATGAGGTTTCGGTATCCACGCTCGACCTTTTCAAAGCAATGCTTGACGAGGTGTGAGACGTAGTTTTTCCCCGACTCAGCCCAACACAAGCTAGTCTGTGGTAGCTTACATCTACAACCTCCATAACCCCTCCCACCCATACATTTTTATGACAAATAGCTATTTTTATTCTACCTAGTCATCTTTTTTATATCTATTTGTACTCCTATTAGCTGCCTACTCTCCTCTCTAAACCAGCTCACTCTTGTATCTTACCCTAACCTTGCGTGCACACGGGTTCTCCACTGTTTGCTGGCGGGTTACTTAGACCTGATTTTTACCTGTGACTAATCGACTGGTGCTGCTTTCATCGACAATAAACCGGATTGGTTTCCCTGTTCCACTGCATAACCTCGATGTCATCCATCGAAACGCTACGGATCATTCGCGGCTTGTAGATGAAAGAATTTGCACTATCATGCTGCCTTAAGCTGCAAACCCTGTGAACTGTCCTGCCCTGTTCCATTTCCTCCGGATCCTTGTGAAATGTCGTCTTGATTCACCGCCTTGTGCTAATTGTGTCATTGCAGAACTCGTAAATTCATTTTCCATAAGTTTTGTCAGATGCGGTAGAAGAAAGTCAAGGATATTGGGATACATTAGCCATGACCACCGCTTAAATTCTCCCCGGGTATCTCGCTTTGGAACCTCATCAATGCCGACCAAATTGTCTCTGTATCTGATTTCAACCCCTTTTTGGCCCCCTCGCACATCTCAGGAAAATTTTCGTATCATGATGCAATCATCAAATACGAAGTATACTAAAAATAAATTTATTTTTCACCCCCTTCGAAGGAAGGAAACCTCAAATAGTACTTCGTAGTCAACTCTAGGTGCATTAGTCTTCCCAGAGGTACCAGTTTAGTGAAGATTTGTAGCTGTCAAAACATGTACAATTTGCCATTCTGAGTAACCTGTAGATTGCCCATAAGTCTTTGATGTTTTCCCTCTTTGCCCCAATGCTTAATACAGTTTTCTCCCTTGGATTACGAAGGAAATTTCACGCTTATTATTGGTAACGCGTTAAAATTTCGATCATTCCGCCTAGGGTGGATCCACCGGCTCAGCTTCACGTCCATTGTATTAAGGCTAAATGTAGGTTCGTCATTCCAGGTCTCGTTCATGGTTGCCAGATTTTTCCTCATTTTGAATCACAATAGTACACAATTACTCATCATCATTATCGTCGTGCAATCGCTTCATTCTGCACTAACGCACGCTCTCGCTCGCAAAGAAACTAAGAACTCATCACCCTCACCAACACTTGCGGACCGAACCCGCATTTAACTCCAACTATTGTAGACTGAGGACAATCGTACTTCCTAGTCAAAGAAAACCTAGCACAATGGGCACTGGACATGATATTAACAGAGAACGAGCTAATTCACAAATGTCTCCGAACTGGACCAATTTTATAGTATCCAGTGCCTTTCGAACTGTTTTTGTTCTCCAGTCAGAAACGTGTGACCGCTAGTAGGACACACGCTCACTATCTGACAAGTTATTCGCCTCTAATAACTCAACCCACATACGAACTTTGTCTGATGGGTTTTTCTCGTGAAATTATGAATTTTCCGACCGTTTTTCTCTCATAATATTACTTGACATTAACTATACTTTTCCTTCATCTTTTCTATCAAAATCTGATATCTGTGCCTTTGTTCGTTCATCCCATCACAACGAGACTGCACCTTGACCCAACTATGTACACGTGATGGCTTTTGTCAACCCGAAGACCTAATCATGCCTAGAAGGTCGAAGGACGGAGTTCGGTCTCCCGGTCCTTTAGGTTGGTTGTTCGACTAGAATTTGCGCTTCATTCGGTAAAAGATGGTTGAGGAGTGATCAATCCAAGTAAATAAGCCTCCACTTCGCTTCACCAATTTCCTTGCGGTTAGGTTCTTGACAGAACTAAAGGTCTTGATTGAGAACCTTAATCGTTCTCCTGATTAGTGGCTGGACACCCTAGCAGTACCCGTCTACCACACCCAGTGCATACAGAAAGCAAAAAAATCCCATACTACATCCGTTGTCGCCTCTTCTTCCGACCTGTGATAGCCCATCAAGCAACTTGGATGTCGCTCGCCAAAGGTCGTTACCAAATAGTACTGTAAGTAATTTATCACGTACTGGATTGCAGATTCTGAAATCTCGTCAATCACTGATTCTGAGGGCCTTAAACGTGAGGACTCTGATACAGGTGAATCAACAAGCGTGTCTGGCGCGTATACTGAAATCCTTAGGGATCGTAATTTTCTAAGTATCAGAGAGTCGAATGCAGGATTCTACTAACATAAGCCACTTGGGTACGCTGAATTTTTCTTCGAGATACTTTCTTCGTACGTCAGACGGCGACAAAGCCCCTTTCCGTAGATCAGCGTGAGTTAGGTATTATACTCAGTAACAGGGTCCAGTCCTCTATTATCGATTGGATTCTCGTCGACAGTCGTTGACGTACGATTTCTCCAGGGTTCAGTCAGCGTCCGGAAGGGAAGCAATGCCAAAAGGTCTTAGTTCATCATATCAGCTTATGCGATCCGGGCGCATTCCCGTCGTGGGGGCATTTCTGGTTGGATTTATGTTACTTTACTGACACTACTATTCTCACTGCATTTGTTCTCTAACACAAACAAATACCAATTGAAATAAAAGTGTGTGACGTTCTTTGTAAGACGTGCTTAAAAGTTTGCATGTAGCTGTCTGATAGTTTTATTTCTCCTCCCTAAATTGATATAATCAACTAGCCAGTGGTTCAATACATTCACTCTCCCCGAAATTGCGTACGTCATCTGGTTGCATCGCATATGCATGGTGTATTGCGCTCAAAAACTAAGTGGTCATGCTAGAGTCTATTCCGAAATCCAGGTTACCTTTCAAAGTAGACGTTCCTACGTAACCAGATTTTTCATGCACTTTTCTTCTAAAACTCATGTGGTATCTTTTTGTTTCCTCTCAATTAGATGGGGTTTATCATACCACTTTCATGCCAAATACGGAACGCGTTTTCAATGAGTATACAAACTCGATTATTCTCCGAAGTGGTTTACAAGAATCGGAACCCACGGTAGTTGTTTGCTCATACCAGCTTACATTTGTACAGAAGTCTTGAGCTGTTGGGTCGTGCACCAAAACGTAAAGGATGGGAATTTCAATCCCCCCGAACGGATTATTGGCACAAGTAACTTTACCCATTTGTTCCCTTAATTCACCTCAGAGTATATCTCAAGAGAGGTGTATACCACACATCCGGACTGGTAGTGCACTCCTCTGGATTTACGGTGGTCACTGCTTCGACCAGAGAGCCATCTATACAGAAACATCTATACAGGTAACTGCCAAATCCCAGTCACGTTATTGTTTCTAGCTGTGTTGATGTGTCAGCTGCAGAAAATATTGGTCGCATACTGGCATATCGTTGCCATCAATGTGGTCTCATTAATCTATTCTTCGATTCTGTCGAATCGCCCCTTAATAATGAAAGCGTAAGTTCCGGATAATGTGCGTCCTCTTAATGATTACTTTTTAGATGAAGGCATTTCACGATGCTCTATTGGAAGGGGGTTTGAATTTAGAAGAGCCTACGGAAATACCCCCGCCAGAGCCGCTGGGTGTGGACTACGATTCTCTTACGGAAGAACAGAAACGAGCAATGTATCCCAGTCTGATT